TAATGTTGGCTGTTTGTTTTGCATAAATGCCCTTTATTATGTTTAGGAATGTCCCTTCTATTCCTATTTTGCTGAGAGTTTTGATCATGAATGAGTGTTGGATTGCATCCATCTTTTGAAGTAAATCTAGTCAGCAACTGAAAAGCAGGGGTGAAGTATGCACATAGCTTCACCAGAACTGGAATTAAAATACCTACCTGTAACATATGATGGAGGGATGAGAAGTTTAGAGTTTACTTTCTTTGTGAGACAGTGGCTATTGGGCAGAACCATGGAATCTAAGTCCATGAAAAAGGAAAGTGAGGACATTTGTGGGTGGTGATTGTGAAAAAGCATCAGAAACTATCTACGGGCATTGTGAAGATTGTGAAGGATTGTTAGAAAGGGAGGACTGGATATGGTGAACTTGGAGGAGAAGAATATTTATAAAGGAGATTTTGGAAGTGCATATAACTGCACTTTCTATTTATTTTTTATCTCATTCCTTTTGAACTTCCATTTTCAGGATATTGTTTATAATACACAGAGTTTATCAGTACAGTAGTAAGTGCTTATAATTTATAATTAAGTAATGGTGTGTGTTTTAGGAGTGCATATTCCTTTCATGGTGATGTGTGTACAGTAAGAAAGATGAGACCACTGGTCTGGAGTAGGGGTGCAGAAGTAAAAGTTCTGTGTTATAAGTGAGGGCAAGGGTATAAGCCCATCTCTGCTTGGCTCAAATATCCATGTGCTCTATTACAGTGGTGATGTAGGTTGTGGGATAGAAATGTTAAAAGATAATTTTTGAGAAAAGGTAAAATCATTTCTCTCACAGTAATAGAAAATGAATATATGTTAAAGATTTTATTTAACTCATTTGATAGGGAATCCAGGTAGATGTTTCAAATGGTTTAAAAGACAATTCAAAGAATAACATATTTATTTATACAGAGTTGTAAAAGAGCTCAAAGACAATGAATACAGCCATCGATGAGCAGATAATTCAGAATGTTGTGCTATAGACAAGTCATAGTTTTCTACTGAAACCCAGAATGCTGAGAGGCTAGCTGGTTATGGAGGGTCATCAAAATTGGATCTGAAAAGGCTCAATGAATACATAAGCTATCATTAAAAAGAAAATTTTCACAAACTGAAATTTGTGTATGAACTCATGAGTTTTATTGTACAGTTAATGAACCAGAGAATATGTGGTCTGAAAGTCAGATCAGAGTTCTGAAGATTGGTACAGGTGGAAAAGCTTTTGTAAGGGAAGATAGTCCTGATTAGCTAGCTTAAGTTTATATTTCTGGGAGAGTCAATTGATTAACTTGGATGAAATGAAACTTAGGTTTTGGTTTGCTAACATGGGGCTCAGCACAAGGGACTCCATTTTGGGCCTAGTTTAGTTACGTTTTCTCCATTTAGGCAACTCAACTAATGTTTGATGATGTGAGGAGGAAATCCAGAAAGGGCATCATGATGGTAGGGCAGTGAGCCTGTGAAGAATGAGCCATTTTGGGTGACAGATGAAGACAAAGATTCTTAGAGGAAAAAAAAACATTCTTATTGAAAAGTGGGATAAAGAGTCATTATTACTTGTGTTTTTATATTTTTCTAAAATTCCAAGCATATTTCATAAACAAAATTATGTTCACCTTTACTGAGAGCTTGTAGTGTCCCCAGACTTAGAGATGGCTAAGCAAGTGGACTCAGATCCCAGTGGGAGAATGTGAAGGAGGTGGGATTCAAGTGGAGGCATATTGGCTGCAGAACCCATCTCTAAATTTTGATCTATTATCTACTATCAAAAGGAGTTCTGGTAGTGTAGTGGTTAGGGCATTTGGCATTTGGCTGCTAACCAAAAGTTCAGTGGTTTGAACCCACGAACTGCTTTGCAATTCAAAGATGAGGCAGTCTGCTTCCGTAACAATTTACAACCTTGGAAGACCAATGGGGTCACAACGAGTCAGAATCAATTCAATGGCAGTGAGTTTGTTTTTTTGGTTATGGAGCTCTGATAGTATAGTGCCTAAGTCATTTGACTGCTAGCCAGAAGTTGGAGGTTCTAACCCAGCAGCCACTCTACAGAAGGAAGACTGGTCAATCTGATTCTGGAAAAAATTACTGCCTTGGAAACTCAAAGGGGGTCGCTATGAGTTGGAATCAACTCAATGGCTGTGAGTAGAGTGAGATTATCAAAGGAGCTCCAGTGGTACTGTAGTGGTTAAAGCAATGAGCTGCTAACCAAAAGATTGGTGGTTTGAACCTATCAGCTGCTCTGTTGAAGAAATATGAGACTTCTTCCATAAATATTTACAGCCTTGGAAACCCTAGGGGCAGTTCTACACTGTCCTAAAGGATCACTATGAGTTGTAATCCACTCAATGGCAGTGAGATTTATTTATTATTTATTTTTGCAGTGTTTCCTTCACTCCCCTCTCGCCCCTGGTAACCAACAAAGAGTTTCCTCCCATATATAAACGTTTCCTTGACTTTTTACAATAATGTACTAATACAATATTTATCCTTCGGTGATTGACTTATTTCACTCAGTATAATGGCTTCCAAGTTCATCTACGTTATCTGGTGTTTTGTAGATTTTACATTATTCTTTAGTGTTGCATAGTATTCCATTGTGTGTATGTACTATAGTTTGCTTATCCATTCTTCTGTTGCTGGGCACCCAGGTTGTTTCTATCTTTTTGCCATTCTAATAGTGCCTTTTTTCCATTATGAATAGCATCATCTAAATTATGAACATGGTTGTGCATATATTTGTCCTTGTCCTGGCTCTCACTTATTTATCACATGAAAAAGAAAAAAAAAAAAAAAAAAACCTTTTTATTTTTTAAAGATGCTAGTTTTAGATTTTGCTCAGGGTGTGCCATGGTTCTAGTAATCTTTTGCATTTCTTTTAACAGACACCAGTATTCCAGGAATTAACCAGGTCAACAGACACTGACTTGGAGCTGAGCCCCAGCCTAGATCAGGAAGGCAATGTGAGAGAAGGTGCCTCACTAGATACAGGGGAAGGCCTGTGTCTCATGCCAGAGTCCTTCCAAAAGACCACCAGAGAGGCACACTGGGACCAAGAGACTCCCCTGGAGAGACCTTGGGTCTCTTACTCGACCTGTCCTGGAGATCACCCTCCTTTATGCAAAAACCAACAGGAAATGGATACATCAACTCTGGCTACCTCTTTGGAAAAGGAGGTGAGGCAAAACTGCTATTCAGTTTGTGATATCAGGAGACTTGAAAGGTAAGAACCTTCATGTTAGCAGATATTTTTAAGCTGCATGCATTTCGTTGTTAGAAATTACAATCTAACAACTGTGCTCAGATGCCTATTTCATCTGGCAGCATTCTAGGCATTTGGATGGAAGGTGAACCCAGGGAATCATAAGGTCTGGAGCAGCTACAACTAGAACTTGGAATCTCTTAGGAAAGAAAACCCCACACATTCCACAAATGCCCTCAATATGCCTTGAAGGCAACAGATGGCAGGGTTTTTTTTTTTTTTTTTTTCAATCAACATACAACTCTGTCCTGCATCCCTCTAGGTCTTTTAAAACCTTACTGTAAGAAAAAAGTTCTTTGTACTTTGTTTCTTCAATGCTTTATAATCAACACCTGCTTTAAAAAAGAAAGAAAAACACCTACATCTTCAAAGTCAAACTGAAATATCATTTTTAATAATCATTTTTAACTTTATCTGCATTTTTGTGCCCATCTACCCATATACATATTTTTAGTGCTCAGCTCCATTGTGATGGAAAACACCCTCTTCAATTCCATTTGATAAGTATTTATTGCACTTTCCAAAGGTACTTAGAAATGTTAAAAAATAATCAATGTTAAAAAACTGAAAGAAATGGAAATATAAGGTTTACTCTGAGCAGTTACTCTGTGTGCATATGGGGGAACCATTCTGATTCTAAAAACCACCGAAACAAACAAAAACAACTGACTCAGTCTAGGCTTGTTACAAGAAGAAGAGGGACAAGAAGAGAAAATCAACCAATGGCTAATCTTAATGGGATTGCTTGAACTTCCCTCTCCCCTATCAGAATGACTGATACCAGGTTACTAAATGATTTCTAGCCTTCCTAGCCTTTCTTCCATTCATTTGCACAAATCTTTAAGTGTAATCTGTAAGTTTTAAAACGATAAAAGGTGTTTCATCTCTCAGGAAGCAAAAGAAATTACCCAAAGTTACTTTTTTTTTGTATTAAACTCTGAGCTAGTTTATGGTTAACAATTATATGGTTAACAATTGTCACAGAGGGGTTTGCAAAGATTTATCTTAGTGGAAAACAACACTCACACTCCACTAGAAATGAAAAGAAAAAAAAAATATTGAGGGAATAGAATCATTTTGAAATGGGGAGACATTTACAGACATCCATGCTAGGTGTTAAAATGCTCAAATTGCAGGGAGAACCTAACGATTTAAAAGGATTTGTGCTCACAGGCAGGTAGAGAGAGGAGAGAAAACATGATAAAAGCTACAAACTTAAACATCATAAGTAAGTTTATCTATTATATCCTGAGAGTTGTTTAATAAAGTGTTCATTCAGGGGTTAAATTTTCTGTCACATTTGATGTCTGCTTCCTTACCTTAGTTACAGATTTACAAAGGACTAGTAGACACAGGGGAGCTCTGGTGATGTAGTGCCTAAGGCACTTGACTGCTAACCAGAAGGCTGGTGGTTCAAACCCACCAGCCACTCCTCGGAAGGAAGGTTGGGCAATCTACTTTCGTAGTGATACTGCCTTGGAAACCCAAGGAGGGGTCGCTATGAGTTGGGTCCGACTCAACGGCACATAACAACAGTAGACACAGCTACCACTCCTCTGTCAGTTTGTTATACTGTGGTAGTTTGGGTGTTGTGGTGATGGTGGACGCTATACCAACTGTATTTCAATAACATCAGGGTCACCCATGATGGATAGATTTCAGTTGAGTTTCTAGACTAGGAAAAAGGACAAGGCCATCCACTTTTGAAAAAACTGGTTACTGAATAGCAGTGAAACATTTCCTGATATATTACTGGAAAACTTTATGAAATGAATAGTGGTGGAACATTATCTTATATAGTGCAGAAAGATGAGCCTCTCAGGTTGGAGTGTTGTTCTGATTACCTAGTGCTTCTCTGACAAGAAATATACCACAAATGGGATGGCCTTAACAAACAGGAGTTTATTCTTACAATTTGGAGGTTTTGAGTCCAAGTCAAAGTGCCAGGCTCTAGAGGCTGGGTGGAAGCCCCTCAGCCTTGGGGCCCAGCTCCGCCTCCTGCTCCCGGCCCATGGGAGCTAGAGGCATTACTTCACTCAGACAGCTGCTGGCTGCTGAGGCTGAGAAGCCCCAAGGTTGACAAGTAAAAACGCACAGTCCCGATGTTACCAAACCACATGGCAGGCCATTAACTTAAGTCCATTGTAAGTCCCAAGGTCGGCAGAGCATAGCAGGCTGCTGAGCAATGACACGGCTACATACAGGGTCCAAGCATGCCATAGGCTCAAGACCATTCCCAAAGCTTCTCCTTAAATACAGGAAGCAGGCCACATTCCCAAAGGCAGCTACTCAGCTGCTTGTGGTAGATCCCACCGTGGAGCTGATTACCAGTATCATGGGGAATAACTACCACCAGCTGCCCAGCCACTCAACCAGGCCCAGCCAAGTTGGCACACAAACATAACTACCACAAGGGTATAACTGGCCAAGTGCGCTTCTTAGCTACCTCAAGGAGAGCCAATTACTTGATAACAAGATGAGATAAAAACCAAGAGCATTTTATTGATGATCAATACTCCAGGAGACAGGGGTACTGTGTCCACCAAAGGCTGTGAGCTGAGAAAAGGTTGAGGTTTTTGAAGGGAATTGAGCTATGGAGTAGGGGGTTTGAGCAATGCTGATAATGCCTTATTGTCATAGGGATGGACCTTTTTGTCATTCTTCTGGTCAGTGGTATCAAATCAGCCTGAAACAGGAGGAATTGTTTTGCAAATGTATTGCTCCTGCCCAGAAAGTTTAACATTACAAGGAGGGGAGAATGTGGAAGTGCATACACTCAGGTATATAAGGAAAGATAAGGAGGATGTGGGAGTGGGTATACTCAGGAAGGAGGCCTGAAGGCTTGAAAGAAGAGAAAGAAGAAATGTTAAAGTTTGGTCAGGATGGCTATTCCCGCAGGCTATTTTACTCTCTGAAGGCAATAGCAAAGGCACTCAAAATACAACTGGAGAAGAGCTAACTCATCAAAGTAGAGTCAATCTTCACATCATAGATGGAATAAAGCTTTGCGACTCTCATTTGCTGATGTAGAATGACTCAAAATGAAACAAAGCAGCTGCAAACATTCATTAATGATTGGAACATGGGATGTATGTAGTATGATTCAAGGAAAATTAGACCAAACTCAAAAACCAAACTCACTGCCATCAAGTTGATTCGACTCACAGCGACCCCTCCTTGGTTTTCTGACACAGTATTGCTATGGAAGTGGATTGACCAATCTTCCTTCTGAAGAGTGGCTGGTGGGTTTGAACCACTAGCCTTCTGGTTAGCAGTCAAATGCCTTAGGTACTATGCCACTAGAGCTGTCAAAAAATGAAATGGAACACATAAAGATTAATATCCTAGGCATTATTGAACTGAAACGGACTGGTATTGGCCATTTTGTATCTGACAATTACATGGTCTACTGTTCTGGGAATGACAAATTGAAGAGGAATGGCATCACATTCATCATCAAAAAGAACATTTCAAGATCTATCTTGAAGCACAATGCTGTCAGTAGTAGGATAATACCCATATACCTACAAGGAAGACCAGTTATTACTACTATTATTCATATTTACACACCAGCCACTAAAGCCAAAATGAAGACATTGAAGACTTTTATCAACTTCCGCAGTCTGAAATTGACCAAACATGAAATCAAGATGTATTAATAATTACTTGTGATTGGAATAGAAAAGTTGAATACAAATAAGCACCAGTAGTTGGAAAATAGGAGTTCTGGGCAATCTACTTTCATAGAGATACCACCTTGGAAACCCAAAGAAAGGTAGCTATGAGTCAGATTCAACTTGTCAGCAATGAGTGTGAGTGAGTTGGAAAATATGGCCTTGGTGAAAGAAGTGATGCCAGAAATTTTGTAAGACCACTGACTTATTCATTGCAAGTACCTTTTCTCAACAACATAAATGGTGACTGTACATTTGGACCTTTCCAGGTGGAATACACAGGATTCAAATTGACTACATCTGTGGAAAGAGGCAATGGAGAAGCTCAATATCATCAGTCAAAACAAGACCCAGGAGCTGGCTGTGGAACAGACTCTCCATTGTTCACATGCAAATTCAAGTTGAAGATGAAGAAAATTAAAATAAGTCCAGAAGAGTCAAACATGACATTGATTATATCACATCTGAATTTAAAGACCATCTGAACAACAGATATGATACACTGAATACCAGTGAATTGAAGACCATACAACTTGTGGGATAACATCAAAAACATAATACTTGAAGAAAGCAAAAGGTCACTAAAATGACAGGACAGGAAGAAAAGACCAAAAGAGATATCAGAATATACTCTGAAACTTGCTCTTGAATGGAGAGTAACTAAAAATAATGGAAGAAAATCATGGAGCAAAAGAGCTGAACAGAAGATTTCAAAGGGTAGCTCAAGAAGACAAAGTAAAGTACTTTAAAGAAATGTGCAAAGACCTGGAATTAGAAACCAAAAATGGTAGAACACACTCAGTATTTCCCAAGCTGAAAGAACTGAAGGAAAAATTTCACCCTGACTTGCAATTTTGAAGGATTCTATGGGCAAATTATTGGCTGATGCAGGAAGCATCAAAAGAAGATGGAAGGAATACACAGAAACATTGTATCACAAAGAACTGGTCAATGTTCATCCATTTCAAGAGGTAGCATATGATCAAGAACAAATGGTATTGAAAAAAGAAGCCCAAGTTGCACTGAAGGTATTGATGATAAACAAGCCTCCAGGAACTGATGGAATACCCATTGAGATGTTTCAATAAATAGATGCAACTCTGAAGGCACTTACACATTTTTGTCAAGAAATTTGGAAGACAGCTACCTGGCCAACTGACTGGCAGAGATCCATATTTGTACCCATTCCAAAGAAAGGTGGTCTAACAGAATGAGGAAATTATCAAACAATATTAATATCAACACAAGTAAAATTTTGCTGAAGATAATTCCAAAACAGTTGCAGCAGTAT